TTGATAAAGTTATCAGACGCTAGTGTATATCTTTTTTTGTAGTACAATTAAAATACGGTGTGCAAACACCAGTAGATTATAACAGTAAATACTTTCATAATGTAAGTATCCTGTGACCACAAAAAATTTGATGTTCGGTGCCGGCTTCCACTGATTAAGGAGACAAATCAGTTTGAAGGCACTGTGTCCAGCTGCCATACTATTTGATACGTTCTCATGCTACCCTTGGCTGTTCACACACAATCTCTTGCTAGCTAAGCACTTATCTTATTTTAACAAAGCCAGTCCTGAAATATATTACGCAAGATTTAACTGTTTTTACTACTTTGACTTTCTAACTGTTTCTGGTCTGTGTTAAGTATCTATAACTGGGTTGGAGTAGATAGAGTGTGTGTACTGTAGTCACTGTGGTATTATCCACGCACACACTCTCAAAATATTGAACAGCTCATAACAAGAAAAAGAACATAAAAAGAAACACTTTAACCAGACAGACGAAATAGTTGATTGACTCAGTTATTAGTAGATACAAAGAAATAAAAGTTAAAGTAATGTCACTTGTGACGATGAAACCCCTGAAAACGAATTTAAAGATTCATGGTTCAACCCTATAAGAAGATTAATTGAAATATCTATATATGCTTCTAAAAAAGCTGGGACTTTGTTTAATTTTTAATCCACCGTTTCTTTCAGAAATAAACTTTGTTAGTTTAGGAAAGGCATAAATCATATTTGACAAAATAATTCACTTTATTGAATATCATATTAGCTGATTAAAGTGAGAGCATAATAGTTTGGCCAAACTTTGAATATTAAAACATAAAGATAATCCAGAGGTTTTGCCGTGTACATCATAAGAGTGTAGTACAGTACACAGCTGTAGTAGTAAAGGCTTAAGTAATCAGTTAAATATTGATCCCCAAGTCTTTATTTACAGAGTCGACATCTGGTACATGCAATAAAAATGACGTAACACAAATTCCGCAAATATGGAAAGTTAAACCACATGACAAAAAATAAAATATTGTAATTACCTCAAATTTCACTGAATACACAGTTGGAATGTGTAAATAAATCACAATATTTAAGTTAAGTGCAGTTTTTTAAACTACTCAAACTTTGTATATTTAAAACCTAGGCACTGTGGTAGAATGTAATTCCATATTCATTTGATCATTGGGTATATCAAACAGTGAAGCGGTAATATTTTCTGGATGACGTTTCAAACACAATTTATTGCTCATAATCATACAACATGATCCTATAAAATATTAATATGAAATTGCTCAAATTTTGACTTAAGTAAAAGAATATTTTGGAGAGGAACAATCTCATAGTCATTTCCCAAAAATCAAGGTATATTGAACAGTTAGTTTGTCTTTGTTTTCAATTTAAAACTACACCTCACAGTGTATGCAAAAGTTGTACATCTTTGACTCAAAGTCTTGTATGACTATGTGCGTGTGTACCAATGAGCAATCTATAATAAAGTCAAAGTGTCTACTTCTTGCTCCTTGGTGTCCAGTACTTTTCTAGCTAAAATCGGTTTTTGATAGGGGCTGCTTTCATATTATGCAAATTTTATCTGTTTACGTATTTCAAACTTGAATCATAAAGAATATTTCCATTTTTATTCAATATTGTTTGTTTATTTTTTTATTTATGTGACGCATCAAATCATTGTCAAAAGGCTTTAATTTTTCCACGTGCAAGGTATTCTCAGGAAGTCATCACAGACATCTGAGATAGATTTCCACCTCAAGGGCTTATTCCATTCGAAGAGAATCCAAATATCCTGTTATGAATTATCAGCAAGAACAAAACATTCTGGATAGATGCGTAGGGGTATGGATAATTAACTGAAAATGCTGAAACTTAGACATGCTTTCAGCAATGCCAAACTGTATAACAGCATTCCAAAAGTTCTGTTTAATAATAATAAGAAGAATGTGAGATACAGCATTATCCGCAGAGAACCTTAAATGACAGTAATCGAAGGCACTAAGGCAGACGGTTTTAGCATCTGACAGTGAAATGTTTGCGCTATACTCACTAAAAAACTACTCGAAAATCAAATGTCCACTCTTTGATACCATCTCACAATAGTTTATTACTTAACTGTTTTAAGTGAAATTTTATTCATACCAAGTATCTGCTGACGCAATACACTCTTATTTCATCATTAGCAAAGACGCAGCCATAAGAGTGAATAACCAGCATAAAAAAGTCTGATTAGTTCTGTGTGCATGTTTCCATGGTCTTCTAATTTGTTTTCTATCGGCATACAAATAAACTTTACATTATTCTTATGCAATAAGTAAGAAAAGAACAAACAATCCAACTGATATTGCATTCCACGAAGCACAATATATTGAAACACTTAAGAGATTGCAATAAAATGTTTCGTATTTCGCTACATATTTTGCAACAAATACTCTTAAGTCAAAACTATCTCATGTTTCAGTTTACATGCAAAGGCCATACGTAGTATTTATCACGAGATACTTACAAACTATGATTTCATGAAATATATAAAAAATTCTGATATTTATTTGTTTTATGTTCGTATTGAAAAAAATTACATCGGACAGATTTTCAAAAAAAACAACAACAGTGAATCAACATTCGATCTTTCAAAGTAATGCAAGAGAATTATATTTTTTTAATTGGTGAATGGTGACTAGCAGTCAAATCCACAATGCACATTTCGTCCTTTTTGCACACGTCAGCTGAACGCACCTGTAAGTGATATTGTATTCACTTAGACTGGAACCCAGCACCAATCCTTTCAAACTACAAAAACTTGTCCACTAGGAGTCTAACGGACGAAATGCGCATTCTGGATTCTACTGATGGTCACCAACCACCAAATGACAACACGCAAATCTTCAGACAACTTGGAAGTGTTTGTGTTGGGAGCTAATATGTCAGCAGAGACTGAACATTTCGGTGCAACATAATCAACCAAAGGGAAATACGAAATCAAAGCGGATAATATTTTATTTTACTGGCACTTTTGAAAATTTTAAAGATTTTACACTTATTGTTCCAGAACATTTGTAATTCAGCAATTAACACTGTTTAAAAAGTTTGACTATAAATAGTTATTAAATTGGCTCAAATTTAGAAACAAAGATTATGAAGAGTAAGAAATTTGAAAATACCACCTGCAAAATAGAGTGTTCTTATCATCTAAAATATGATGGTGGCGAACGCATGCTACTAATAAAATTTGCATTTCTCAACAAATAAAAGAAACAAATAGTGTTATTATCAAGGACACACCTCCATTTTATCCTATTAGTTTTATCAGAGTAACAGTAGGCGAGAATTCAGAATGCCTCAGCTTATACGTGTGGCAACTAGATCAGATTACTTCTACATTAAGTAATTCTGAGCTGGGAAGTGAATGCATTGACAGAAGATAACACACATGCTCAGATTGTAGGATTTGATGAATACATGATAAGTGAAAACAGAATATGTTTGTTTAATGAAAACTGCTCATCACATTCGTTTTGGGAGTGATAACTTATGGTAGTAGGCTGTTATAACTAGGTCGAATTTTACCTTAACCTTTTATTCTTATTTAAAATAGCCTAGATTTTATTTTACGCGAAATACTTATGTCAAAACACAAAGCATATCATATCAGCATTCATCGCAATATGCTTACGTACAGTTTATCAACCTGGACAAATACACTGTTGAACCAAGTACTAATGTGTCCACTTCTGTTTAATGCTGAATGTTTTTCACATTTAGTTGCTCACCAACAGTTAATAAAAGGATTCTCTGTCCATACACTCTGAATTAAATGTGCTAATGTATAAGCGAATTAATTGTGTGTTGGTTCAGATTAAACTGTTACCATTCATGGATTTATACTGAGAAGCACGTCACTTAATGACTGAGTTTTAAAATAGAACTGTTCACAGAAGTGCGGCAGTTTAGTCTGTAGCACTCCATGTAGCACACAGAGGTGGAAAAAAGAAAAAGTCGAAAGAGTTTTAATAAGCAGAAATGTTAGAGAGAAAGAAAAAATAGTAGCATGGAAAAACATTAGGGATTAGAGGATACAGGAGATCGCAGGGGGTGAGCACCTCCGAACTACTGGGAATGATCCTGAGCCATGTCACCATCGATTTCCGAACAATGATTCAAGGACCCCAACTAAGCAGTTTACACCTCCCTGTATGGCTCAAAACAGAAGCAGCTTAGAGTTAAACTAGGTACTGCTACTGGTGTTTTCTCAACGTAATTAAGAGAGAAATGTTTATATGAGCATCTATAGGTAACAGTTTTTTTGTCGTTAATCTCATGTTGTATATATACATATATATGTATGCGAGCCCGAATAGCTCGGTGGTAACGTCGCTGACTGCAGAACTGCTGGTCACGAGTTCGAGTCTCAGAAGGGACATGAGTTTCTTCAAGAGATTATTGATTGTGCATCAGTGGCTCAGCGGTAGGCTACTCGCCAACCACACATATCGTCTGGAGCCCGAGCCCCAGACGGCGCACTCTTATGCTTCTCTAGGCCATTATTAAGACTGGTAAAGAGAGCAGGTTAGGGATGAGACTAGTAGCCTCACACTGTAAACATAAACACCACTGTTATTGAAACTTAAAAGCTCTAGGTTGGGGCCCTATTTTTCACTGGGAATATATAGGAATAAAGTAAATAATCAATAATAATAATATAGACATATAAATTAATATTTACAGTCATCACCTGAACATAAATAAAAAGATAAAAAACTACAAACTCATAATGGTGAACCGTAGAATTCATAACAAGTTAACGTGAAACAACACTTGAACTCATCTACCTTTTATAAAACATAGCTGCAATGATCGTACTAATAGTATTGATGTTGTTATCAAACTGAATACTTAACATAATACGAAATCTTTTTTCAATTCCTTGTTCGTTTCATTGAGAAAACATTTCAATAAATAAAATATCATTATCACATTGAATTTATGCCAATTCAGTTTCATTTAAATCTGAGTAATTTTCGCAAATTACACAGTAACACTGATATTTTTGATAGTAATGAGCTATTTTTTGTTTCTTTTCTAGGATTTTTATGACCACAATCATTTGATGGCACTAAACAAAAAATGAAAGAAGATGAAGTCTATGGTAATAAGTTACACAAACTTAAGAGTATGATATAATATACGTTGTCGCAATCAGTGTGTGAACAGCTATCTGCTAACATAGAATTACTTGTTAGAAAAATTGACCATTCACAAGGGACAGTGGACTCATTTTTTTCAAGTCTGTTTTCTTTTAATTCGGCTACTAAGGTGGTAAACTCACGAAAGTTATTTTAAAGCATATGTAAATAAAAGAAAGGTTTTAACTCTTTGAAGCAAGAGGTGACTTCAGAATTCGTTAATTACCAATGGGTAGTACATTCTCAATTTAAAGTCAGCGTGGTTTTCTCTGAGACAATCGAAAATTCCATGTGCACAACTTATAATCATGTAAAGAATAGCATACCTGCGGTGATTTGTAATATCATCTATTTCTTACTACCGGAATTTGCGTTTATAAGACATCATGGATAATTCTGATAAGATGTAATCTACTGAAAAGTGTATAGGCACCGTGAATCCAGTGAAGTATCAGTAAAGCTCGAGAGGCCAATCAGAAACAAAGTGAAAAAAACTTTTCACAATATTCAGTTAATCCAGTTAAAGAATGAGAAATTCTCATTCCGCCGTTCAAAAGTTACTATGTATGTTGTTCATTCCAGTACAACTGCATAAATTAATATAAACTTATTTGAGGGAATAATCACAAATAAATACCCATAGGAAGAGACTCACAGTTTAAAAAAAACGTCACTGTAAATCAAAGCATGTGATACTCACTATTTTGTTGATACTGTTAAGTAGTAATAATTTAACTGACTTTTGGAAAAAGTTATTCAAATTAAGCCGCAATTGTTAAAATCTTCACAATGCGGATATGTGAATATTAATGTGCTATGCCTTAAAGACTTCGGTTTACTGGTAGCGACTTTAAAATAGATTTCCTGAAGTAAAAACGGGATTCATTACTAATGTAATTGACCAAGCCAGTTATGAGAATACTTACTCATCGTTTGAACCGGGTAGCAATGTCACTATCGGGTTAGAATTATTAGACAACAGAGTGTAGTCATAGGACTCTTTGGTTATAACCATACCTTGTAACTTGGTGTTTCTAGTTCTGACCCATGATGAAATCATAGGTGGCTATTACAACAAAATCCCTGACTAGCATAAAGCAGCTATCCAGTGCTTCTTGGTTAATATTTGGCTTCAGATATTTAGTTCCCTTGATAACTTTCAGTAGAGAAAGAAAAACCAGATTTGAAGTATAAAATGACATTTTGTTTCACAGGTTCTCATCAGCTGTAAACTACCTGCAATGGTAATAATACATGACAATAACATACTTGAAGGTTTGAACAGTAATAAATAAAACATTATAAAATCAACACATCCGAAATACAAGCATTACAATTTTTGGTTTAAGTTGCCATCAATTTATATGCTTTCAACATAGAAAATGAGGGGGCGGGAGGTGAAAACAGAAAAATCTTATAAACAGCGTTAGGATATAGGTTTACATAGCAGCTCAAGAAGGTCATAGTTCATAAATTTGAAAACTTGCTCAGTGATTTGAAATCACTAATATGGATGAATAATCAATGAAATCAGATTTCAGTTACCAGGGGGTTGAGAGATTGGTTACACTCTCTTTCTCTATGCATAAGTTTAGTTTCAAACGCTTGACTGCAATTTCTTCATCAAATTGTAGTAAATTTCCTATCATTTGTATGTTTAATATCTAGCGGATTTAGAAATCTCGCCGAAATGACCCATATCCACAAGGTGTCCGATAATTGCACTTTGCGAATATCTGTTTCCTTTTAGACATAAGTTTCTTGGAATATGCTCTGAAAATCGCATAGAAGCCCTTCTTTCTGTCCTTTCAATGTAATTGTTCCCACAAGTGCACGTGAATTTATAAGCGCTGTTGGAGATGACACCAGCAGGGTACTTATCCAGTTTGGATTGGCTTATGGAGCATGTGGAACTGTAAAGCGTTACGAGCTTAGCTGCAGGAAAGCATGTTTTAACTGCTCCTTTCATTCTCTTGTCAATTTTTTGTGATACTGCTTCTCCTGTAGATTGGAGGTGAATGAACACTTTCTTCTTTTCAGCTGTTGGATGTTTCGTTTTCTCGTCTTTGTCTTTGCTGTACTTAAAGATAAATCCCTCTGGACACTCATTTTCCTTTAGACATTTTTTAATAAGGCTTAATTCTTCTTCCACCTCGTTAGGCGAACATAACTTCCTAGATCTGTCGTCCAGTGTCCTTACTAATCCACACTAACAGATTATAGGACAAAAGCTGTTGTAGTGAAGATACTGTCCAGTCCAGGTGGATTTTTCGGTCATACCATAGTTGGCTCTTCTTACATTAAGGTTCAAGAAACTAAACTCATCATTGCGTTCATATCCTATGGTGCATTTAATGTTTGGGTGGATCTCATTAAGACAGTCAAATAATATAGATGTCGTTGCAGACAGCGAACGGATCACCAACACATCGGTGATAGTGGGTTAGTTCATTGAATTCAGAACTCATTCGCGTGCGTTCAAGATAACCCATGAAGATATCGGCCAGAATAAGTCCTAGAGGTGAACCCATGGTAATCCTATCAATCTGTCAGTAAAACTGATTGTTAAATTTAAATTGGATGTCACTGAAGTATGTTATTGTCACTATTTATAGCCATTGTAATTTCAGGTATTTTGCAGCTGATGAGAACCTGTTAAATATAATGATATCATTTTATACTTCAAATCTGGTCTTTCTTTCTTTATTAATAGTCTTGTAACACAAGCCATTTTGAATTGAATAAGGATTAAAGAACTCTGAACATATTCAGGTATTTCTCAGCAGCAGTATAAAAAAAAGAGAAATATTTAGAAGCTAGAGAAAAGAATACAAATATCTCATCGGCAAATATGTAAGAACTAGTCATAAAAACAGATTATTTGAAGCAAAAAAAATGTAACAGAACGTAGCAAGAGTACCTGAATTATCGAGTGATTTGTTCACTGGCTATAAGCAATTTAAACTACTGCGTTTTATGCAAGCTTCTAATCTGATGTACCCGTCTACATTTATTTTTAGATACCTGTCTTTCCTTTATAATCATAAGGTAAAAGCACGCTTTCACAATAATCAGTTTTCTACTTACCTAATTAATTTTGAGTTTGACCTTTCACTTCGTGTGTTTCATAAAAGTCATTTTATAAAAATTGAGAATTTAAGGACAATCACAGTGATCATTTTTCTTTCGAAAATGTTACGTTGTTTTAAATTTTCTTAAAAGTCACATTTTATATTTGATATAAGGTAGAGCCTTCGATTTCGGTGATGTGGCAAACCTAGCTACCTAGCTGTTATCTTTTATAATTTGAATATTATCGCATGAAATAGTTGGTTCTATACAGTTATCATAATTCTCTAGTAAGAAAGTCTGTTCATATAATACCATCAAGAGATTTAACAGTACTTTGTACGCGGCATTTCTCAATGTCCAGCTGAGTTGTTATCCTCTAGTGCTAGACAGTTTATTCAAAAACTAAGGCAGGTTCAGTTTAATGCTGCTTTTAGTCGAATATTGTTGTATTAAATACGAAGACATCAAGAAAGCATTCAAATTTAAAGACAGTATTCATTTGCAGTAATGTATGTTAATGCAGTAGACACAAGTAGTCATGATGTAGTTTTATTATTGAGAAATCAATTATTCCATATAAAATACACGATGACAACAATGATTTGTAACTATTTGCCTGAAAGTATGTAACTGTTAAAGAATACTTTGTTCTGAGAAGCTTTTTATCGTGCCACGGCTAAATTAGGTGACCAGATACTCATCATTGTAATTATGGTGTGTAGCGCAGATATTGTTCTCCATCTTTGTCCCCTAATACTTAAGGAACACATACAGGATACTTGCTTATCCAACCACATCCAGTAAGACAATGATCATATAAGTACTACAGTATGAGATTATTATACTTAAAATACAACAACTGACCTCCAGTATGGAACACATATAATTGTAGATCTGATAATAACTCTGTTATCATTTACGTTCAATTTAGAATTTAACTCAACACCTTCGAACAATAAATTTCACTGCCTTTTGGATCCTTATTAAAGTATAACTTATATGTCACAGTTACCAAATTTAAAGCAGCTTTTATAAAAAGACCTATAAATTCATAGTATTCCAGTGTGGTTTCTGACAAATAGGAAATTTATAGGATATCGTATAGTATCTGTTTGTACGGCACATGTAAATGGTTGTGATGCCGTCCTGATCAACAAAATGTTACAGTAACTCTCATAATTTTTTATAATCTGAAGAATTTTTAACTTTATGGTATGATATATAGTGGATAGTGATATGTTTAGAATTTGTCATATCCTATATCTCAAGGAACCCTGTTCTTAAAATCTTGTGCTTTACTTAATACTACTTTTGCTACATTTTATTGGAATGTCATGTGTCTAAACATTTCACCTTACGCATGCATTGCCTTCAGTCATATCTGTCGACCACTGGGATTGAGATAAATGGCGCTGTCTGGATGATTGCATGACTTTCCCGAACAATGAGTTACATCATCACTTAGAATTTCGTATGACATGTTTAAATATAAATTCTGAGTAACTTATCATAAAATGTTGATTTTTTATAACTTTTATTAGTTCTAAAGTTGTCATACTTTATTTCATTTAAGAACTAAAGGTGGTTATTTTTGCCGAAAAATAGAATAAATCTTATTCTTTTGAAAACTTCCTTTCTAGTTGAAAACTAAATAAAGCTTGTCTCATATTACACAGTGAGTAACAGTATACTAGGAAGCGGAGAAAATTAACTGTAACGAAAACTCAGCTAGTAAACATACAAAAATATAACATGAGTTGTTTCACAATGAATTATGTACATGCTACGCTATTTCATATTATACTATTATCCAACATATTACAAAAGGGAATCGATTTGTTTGTTAAACGTATACTGT